TCCTCCAGCCACTGATGGCCACTTAGGGAGTTGTCCCCAGAGCCCAAAGAGAAAATGCTGGGTGATTGTTCTGCAGCAGCTGTGGGCCCTGTAGGCAGCAGGACGGGCTAAGGTTTTGCCTGGTTTGACTTCACCTCTTTTTTTGTTTCAGGCTCTCATTATTGTGGTTGTGCTGGGCTGGTTGTTTGTTCCCATTTACATTAGGGCAGGGGTAAGTATCTGCTCTGTTCTTATTTAATATATATTTCCTGCTGGCAAATTCATGTGTGAACTTGGTCATCCTGGAAGGCAGAGGAAACTTTACGGGATAAAAGCCTATGACTTGGCTCACTTTCCTGGGTTCTAAAGTTCTTGACTTCTCTCAGGGGCATCAAACAGGCACGGCTTGTCCCGCTAGGAAGCCCTCCTAAGCAGCCCCGCTCTATTCAGCATCTGAAGCATCACACCCCCATCCTGTGTGTATACTTGCAAGGCACTGCTGTGCATTTGCTCATGATGCATTGCAGAATGCTTCTGTCCGTGGAAGGGAAGCAGCATGAGAAAAAGAACCATGTTTCCCCTTCATTTACAAACACAGCAGCTCTTACTGCTGAACATGCAGCTAGTACTCAAGTACCAAATACATGCTCAGTCTCTTGACTAGATCTCTGATATTTTGTGTAAAACAGCTTTAACATCATCTGTTCTCTGAGATATAAGAGCACCTACTATGTATAAGTCTGTCTATTAGGAGCTGAAAGCAATATGGAAGAAGTCCAGGCAGACTCTGCATCTTTGGAGGCTTGTGGACCGTTGGTGATGTGTGTCTGGTTCCAAGAGACAGCAGGCTCAGGGTTGAGGGAACGAAAAGGAGTGTGGTTGGAATTTGCAGAAAGGAACTGGGAGAGCAGGTGAGCAGGCCTGCAGCCACAATCCTTGGCAAGGCCTGTATGCAGAGCAGGGTGAAGCACACACCAAGCCCGGCCACCTTGTTTAGTGTACTGAAAAGATGCTGCTGTGGTGGTTATGATGTCTTGTTCATTGTAGGTGCTTTGTATGGGAATTTTCTTTTCTTTTCTTTTCTTTTCTTTTCTTTTCTCTTCTTTCTTTCTTTCTTTCTTTCTTTCTTTCTTTCTTTCTTTCTTTCTTTCTTTCTTTCTTTCTTTTTCTTTCTTTCTTTCTTTCTTTCTTTCTTTCTTTCTTTCTTTCTTTCTTTCTTTCTTTCCTTCCTTCCTTCCTTCCTTCCTTCCTTCCTTCCCTCTTTCTTTCTCTCTTTCTCTCTCTCTCTCTTTCTCTTTCTTTCTTTCCTCCTTTCTCTTTCTTTCTTTCTTTCTCTTTCTTTTATCTATCTATCTATTATCTATCTATCTATCTATCTATCTATCTATCATCTATCTATCTATCTATTATCTATCTATCTATCTATCTATCTATCTATCTATCTATCTATCTATCTATCTTCTATTCCCTCCTCCTTCAGGGCCAGTATCTGCCTTCTTGGTTATGTCCAGTCATATGTTCATTAAATAAAGTGTTTATTGGGCACTTCCTATGTCCTGGAATAATACCCATCTGCCTCTGTAGTGATAGGGCATGTAGAGTTGAGATGAGCAACTGGATGGAGGACAGGGGACCTCCGGCCACCTCACAGACTTCTCTGACCAGTAGGGGTTAACCCTTGATCACCCTCTGACACCAGGGTGGATGCCACTGCTCTGCTTGCTTGCTCTGGGCCTTCTGATCACCCTGGCTGGCAGTGACTGCCCTTCCATCCCATGCAGGTGGTGACGATGCCAGAGTACCTGCGGAAGCGATTTGGAGGCAAGCGAATCCAGGTCTACCTCTCCATTCTGTCCCTGTTGCTCTACATTTTCACCAAGATCTCGGTGAGTCCTTTTCCCTGGGGGCTGGGAACTGGCTGTCTCAGAACCTGCCTACCCTTGCCCTCAACACATGAGGGCCCATGGAAGGACAGTGCTGTATGTTGCTACTAACTCAGTCCCTTAGGCCTTCTTGCCTCTGAGGGAAAAGTCCTATTTCACACATCAAGGAGTGAACACATGGAACTCCTTATCCTCTACTGTGGGGAAGTTGAAAACAATCAGGTTCAAGAAGGTTCAGTGAAAGCTGCTCTTAATAGACGATTAAAAAGGAGTTAGGGATGTCTGAGGGCTAGCCCTGATCTTAGAGGTCAGAATCTGGCTCCAGGTGGCATTTCTGAGGTGCTTAAACATGGGCAGTCCCCGACAGCTCTGGAAGGGACCTCGGAGATTCTCCGTCTTCCCTTGTAAGGAGGGGCCCGTAGCATACTGCTTTACCTCGCTGGACCTTCGCTTCTTGGTGGGTAAGATGGGGATAAAAATTCCTACCTTGCCTGCCTCACTGTGTGGTAGTGAGGATCAAATGGATTTTCTTGAAAACATGAAGTATCGTTGGAATGTCAGGCATGATGATGATGAAAATGAGAGCCTTCTACACGCCATGTGAGCAGTGCCCTGGATTGCTTCAGCACCCTAATCTGGCCAGAGAAGCCTAAATATTCTGGATACTAGGCCATATGATTTGCAAATATTTTCTTCCATTCTGTAGGTTGTCTTTCCACTTTCTTGGTAGTGTTCTTTGATGCACGGAAGTTTTAAATCTTGATGAAGTCCAATTTATCTGTTTTTCTTTTCTTTTGTTTCTCATGCTTTTGTTGTCATTCCTAAGAATCCATTGCCAAAATCCAAGATCATGAAGATTGAATACTATGTTTATTCCTAAGAGTTTTATAGTTTTAGCTCTTACATTTAGGTCTTTGATCGGTTTTTAGTTGATTTTTGCATATGATGTGACGTAAGTTGAAATTCATCCTTTTGCATGTGGACGTCCAGTTCTCCCAGCACCCTTTGTTGAAGAGATTATGTCCCCATTGAATGCTCTCACACACATATTTTTACACAACTCAGTGAGCACGTGCTCTCATCGACTGGACCGAGAGGGCTTTCTTGTCTTAGAGCTGAGACTGACACCCCAGTTACTGCCCCCTCCCTGCCTAGCTTCCTGGCTCAAAATGCGACTGCCCTTGACTGGTGCCTGTGTGCTTTGCCTGCCAATGTGATGATTCTACCTCCTTTACTTTCTCCTCTCTTCCTTCATGGTCGTTTATAATTACAAGATGAAAACCCTGGGATTTTCAGTCTTATTTCATTAGAGACTGGTGTGCAGAGCCTGGACTGGGAGTTGTTGGAAGGGGTGGGTAAATCAGGCTTCCTGAGGGTGGGAAGGGCAGGTATAAAAGGATAAAAGGAATGCAGGCGGGAGGGTGGGGAGGTGACCCTGGAATCATGGGAGGTTGGTGAGGGAACTGCTCCTTGCTCCTCGGTTCAGCTTGTGAGGTGGCATCTGTCTCATGAGCAGGCAGAGGAGGGAGTCCCTTTCTTGGAAGCAAGCCTTCTCCAAGTCCACAGTTCAGGCGGGTGAAAGTCTGTTGACTGCAGTTGCCATGGAAAGAGCACTCTTTGCCGTTGGAGCTGATGGAGCGGTAGTCATATAAGTAAGCTTAGTGCTCAGCCTCTCTCCCTGCCTTCCCAGTCGCCTCACTTCTTTTCAGGTTACTAATTAAACCTTCTTGGAGTTGGGAGCCCCCGGGTACTCAGCGGCAGCCTCCCTCAGCTCAGATCCTGATGGAGCCCATTCCCCCAGCAGTCAGCTTTTTCTCAATTTTACTTTTGAATAGTACTGAGTGTAAGCTGCTCCGTCTCTGTAATTTCTGGGGCTCCTTCCTGGAGGCCTTGCCCACTGCCCTACCAGCTCCACCTGCTGGCCAGGGCCAGCGATCCCTTGAATAATGCATTAGTGCCACTCTTAGTTGCCAGTAGGGGCTTTGCTTATTCCTTTTCCAGTTCTCATAAAAGTTCTACATGGGCAGGGATTTTTATTTTATTTTCTACTTCATGGAAAAGAAAATAGATTCTCAGAGAGATTAGGTAATTTGTCCCAAATCACATAGCTAGTGTATGGCAAAGCCAGGTCTGGAGCCTGGGTCTCCCTAGTCCCAGTTGTCTGTGTTCTTCTCAGAATTCTGCTCTATGCTTGGATGGGATGAGGGCATAGGATGACAGATCAGATAGGTCATCCAGTTCTGTGTCCTGTGCTCCCATTTCCCCCACATTGGGGAAATTGAGGTCCACGGGGACTTTGTGGAATTAAAAGCAACAGAACTAGGATGAGAAGCAGGGACCCTGATATGGAATCAAAACCTGTTAACATTATACACTCCCTGCCTTCTAAGTCTTTCATTCTTCCAGGGTAAAGTAGGGCAAAATTCAAGACCTTGGGATAGGAATTAAGATAGCTAGTTAAATGAGCTTCCAATATAAATGAGTTTCTGGGAGAAGGATTTGCAAGGACTCTGAAGAGGGGACATCAGCTGCACACTGAGTGCGTGAAGGATCTGGAGGTGGGACATCCAGGCAGCAGAAAGGACAGGGAAGGGCCAGGCAGGCAAGGCTTTGTCTTTATAAATTTGGCTGACTTTAGGTTCACCATGGGTCACAGAGCACGGAATCTTTAAAAAATTACTCTGATGTTGACTGTAATTGCTGGGAGCTCACATTTAGATAAATAAAGAGTTCAGGACTTATGGACAAAAGGAAAAAATTGTTGGTTAACAAATTTAGGCAGTCATGGATTCACACTGCCCACAAACAGAGATTAATCAATTTTGTTGTGTGTGTGGGGAGGCATGGGTAGTTTGTGATTGGTGAGAAGAGAAGAAGATGTGGCCTTGTGAGATCCATGTCCAGACAGGGAACAACCAGGGACCTGCCAGGACATAGGGATCCAGTGGATGTGTAACTGACAGTGGAGAGAAAGTGAAATGCATCTCAGGTTCAGGGCCCAGATGTGACCCAGGCCATGGAGCAGCGCTGGTGTGGACTTCTGACGGTGGCTGCCATTCGTGGCCATGTCCTTTTGGACTCTGAGACCCAGACTTGATTATTCCTCCATGTACTCCTCTAAATTTTATCGGCTCCTTCCCGCCCATCCACTCCACACCAGCACCCTGCCTTACCAAGTTCTGAGTAGCATTCTGTTCTGTAAAATTTCCTGGCATCATGTGTCTTATGCAAATGTACACAATCACTTTAGATAAAGCCTCAGATCTTATGAATTACTTGTGATTACCAGATGTCCTTGTTTGTATTTCCTGCATTGATATCACAGGTCACAACTGTTATAAACCTTTATAGCAGCTTTGCTGTCCATTTTGGATCCTTGGGTGAAAATAAGAGCTTTGGCTTTTGCTTATGTTTTGAGTGCTCGTCACCTGGTTCCCTCACTTTCATAAATGAAAGAAATTTGAACAATAGGCTTTCCATCTCAAACTTCACTTCCATGCAGGATTACTGGGCACTCAAATACAACTAGGATCAGAATGGGCAGGAAGTGCACAAATATAAAATCACAGGACCTCAAAGCATCAGAGCTGAGACTAAGCAACCTGCCCAAGGCTCGTGTCAGAGACTCAGCCACTCTAAGAAGCTTTCCAGCTGCATCTGTATTTTATTGTTCCCTGTGAGTTCCATGGAGCTTGTTCAGCCAGACTTTCAAAACAGTGGGCCAAATTCAACTTCTTGTTTTTGTTTTTGGTGAGACGAGGTGATTAGGTTTATTTATTTATTTTTAGAGGAGGTAGTGGGGATTGAACCCAGGACCTTGTGTATGCTCAACATGTGCTCTACGACGTGAGCTATACCCTCCCCCACCTTCTTGCTTTTGTAAATAAAGTTTTTTTGAAACGCAGCCACATCATTGGTTGATGTATCATCTACAGCTGCTTTCATGCTTCAACAGCAGGCAGTGCTGAGCCAGTTGAACAGAGACTGTATGGCCTGCAAAGCCTAAAACATTTAGGAACTGACCATTTACAGAAAAAGTTTGCTGATCCCTGGTCTAGAGGACCATAATTGTCTAGTTCACTTCAAGTTGGTTTTGCTTAGCAAAACCTTTGCTTCCTTCCTTCCTTCCTTCCTTTCTTCCTTCCTTGTTTCCTTGTTTCCTTCCCTTCC